TTTTCCTTTTCGTTTCACTTATGTTTCGAAAATCTCCAGAACCGAATCGAAAAAGATAGAAGCTTTTTTATTTTCTCTTGAAGGAAAAAGTGTCAGAAGGGAAGACCTGGTTTTATAGGTAGGGAAAAATGATCATCAAATGATGATGCTTAAAAGTATTGAACTTTAGAAATAAAATGAAAAAGAAAAAAAAAAAGTGACATTATTAGGGCTTTTGTGCCCCTGCAACTATTTCATGCATTTGGATTAGTTCATCTATAATATTTTATTTTATTTCTATGTGATTGATTTGTATGGAGCAAAGTGACAAGGGACATACATATTAAAAAGCTTTTAGCTTTTGTGGTTTGGAGTAATTATTTATATGTGGAGAAAAATCTGAAGAAATTAATTAAATTTTACACTCTTGTTTTGTTTGTTGAAATGTAGAGTTATTTGGTAAACATATTTATGTGATTTTGTAAATTTAATTAGTAGTAGATTTCAAAGTTTCCTTTAACTATTTTATATGTGTGTGTAAAATAAAGGTTTATGTTAGGGTTTTATCACACACTTATGTTATGTATACTCATATAGTATGTTGATTCAACGGTAGAAAATCATGTAAAGCCAGTCGGCAGACGAGTCATAACGTATCATCCTCTTTCAGGGTTGCAAACAATAATTGAATCTTTTCGAATTTTAACAACAATTCTCATGGATATTTCAATGCTAATATTTCCGTTAGAATTTTCCAATAGATTCTAACGGAAATTCCAAGAAAAATATTCTATTGGAATGAACTTTCCATTGGAATTTCGTTGGGTTTTGACAATTCCAATAAGAATAGAAATAAAAATTCCAACAAAAATTGCATATTCTAACAGAAATTAATACGGTAAAAAACCGTTGGATAAATAGCCGTTCGAATCGTCAAATTTTATCTAAAATTTCAATGAAAAAAATTCATTCCGACGGAATATTTTTCTTGGAAATCCAATTTCCATTGAAATATATTATCGTAGGATTTTCCATCGAAATATATTATCGTAGGATTTTTCGTGGGAATACAATATTTTTTGATAGTGTTATTATTAACAGGTCAAATTCAAACTCACATTCATATTCGAACGAATACAAATACGAACGTTACTCAAATATGCCAAATTCGAATCAAGTATCCAAACATTCGATTCAATTAAGTACCACCTATATCGGTATGCAGCCAATGTCCTTTTGAATTTTTCCATAATATGAACCGCATTTTCTTCCATTAACCACCATTAGTGTTGCTAAATTAAACTAGTTCGGCTCGGCTCGGATCGAGCTCGAACCTTCAACGAGTCGAGTTCGAGCTCATTTAAAACTCGTTTGGTTAGCTCGGCTGAATAAAGCTCGTTAATGGTGATAAACGAGACGAGCTCTAGCTCGATTTCTGACTCGATTATTTAATGAGCCAAGCTCGACTGGCTCGTTTCCTTAGCAGACAATTTTCAAACCACAAAAAACCCCAACAGGAAATACAAAAAGAAATTAAGATTGTCTTCTTGCAGTAATCAATCAAACAAATAAACAAAATAATA